GGATATGACCAATGGATCCAGGACTTCATACATGCACAGACCAAAATCCCCACATAGAAGAAGGCAAGGTCTGTGAATGGTTGGAAGCTGCATTAGCAGCTACAGTGTGATTCTGCTACTGCTGAATTGATGAGTGTGTGAATTCTGTCCCCTTCCCAACAAATTATTCAGAGAAGCCCACTGCATAAACAGTTTACTCAGGGTCAGGATATGGTGGCTCATGTTCTTCCTGTGACACAGTACGTGAGGGCCATATTAGGTATAGTGGGACTGGGTCTTGTAAAAACACAAATTACACATCCCATGGAATCCTTCTGGAGTTTTGTTTCCTTTTTTTAAAAAAGTTGAAAAACTTAGCTTTCTTGTTGAAGCTAGAATGCTTCAATTTCAGCCCACACATCCATTAGGAGAATAATTACAGATGTGGAAATTCCATAGTGAAGGTTCAGTTCTGCTCTGCTACGCAGCAGGCATGCATTGCGGGTGTCTCGTAAAGTCCACCTCTGCACTTGGTGTTGTGCTGTTGATCATTTGAAGGGATGCACAGCTAGCATTTGAGAATCTGCTTGTATGAGAGCAGAATGCAACATGCTATATTCATTATGTTCCCAGTTTTTGTGCCTGCTAAAAAAGAGTAAAGGGACATACCTCGCAATAACTAGTCCCATTAGTGCTAGACAGAATCCAATAGAATGTAATATTCCCACATTTCTCATCCATAAAAGCCTGGATAGCTATGGACTCTGTCTGGAAGACTTAACTATTCAAAAAGCAGAAATGAAAATGGCTCTTTAGCAGTAAGTTGGGTTTTTAACCTGAAAAGCTGGCATAATGCATAGGAAGAGGCACAGGGATGCACACTACCCTTTATTATCATGAGTTCTCAGGAGCATTAAACTCCCTAGGTGGGATTTTCAAAAGCACCTACATAACATAGCAGAGTCAATAGAATCTGTGCTCCTAGATAACTTAGGAGATGTGATTTTCCAAAGTGTCTATCTGTGGCCATGTAGCATGATGCTGTACAGTAGTTATTGGGGCTGAAGTAATTCTTTTACACCAAGTGGGAGGTATGCATATGTTTTTATAATTTAGGAAAGGCTGATACCATGAATACCTTGATATTTTCCACCAAGTATTTTTGTATCACTTAAAAAAAATAGCTAATTATAATGTAGCAATAGTTAGGACAGTAGTTTAGCTTCTGGCCTTAAACTATTTGAGAGAGTCCATTCAGGGAAGACTCTAAAAGATAGTTTCTCTTTATATACAAAGCTATTGTAAATATGCAACATGACCTATGTGGGAAGATTGAAAGAACTGGGTTTGTTTAGTTTAGAAACGAGAAAACTGAGAGGGGACTTAACAGTTTTCAAGTGCCTAAAAGGTTGTGAAAGGAGGAGTGAGAAAAAATATTTTCCTTAACCTCTGATGATAGGACAAGAAGCAGTGGATTTAATAAGCAGCAAGGGAGATTTAGGATGGACATTAGGAAAAAACTTACCAACTGTCAGGGTGGTTAAACACTGGAATAAATTGCCTAGGGAGGTTGTGGCATCTCCTTCGCTGGAGTTTTTAAAAGTAGGTTGGACAAACATCAGCCAGAGATAATCTAGATCCTGCCCTAAGTGTAGGGGATTGGATTTGATGACCTCTCGTGGTCTCTTCCAATCCCATGATTCTATTTAAATCTCTCAATGGTTTATCATTGCAATAAACCAATGATATTTAATAATAATGAGATTGATATTGGGCTATATATTTTCAAAGGGTATGTCTATACTAGCTCATTAATTTGAGCTAGGTAAGCAAATCAGGCAACCGGAGTTAATTATCCCAGGCTTTATTTGCATGTTCCCGTCCGGCCGCCATTTTAAAATCCCCCTTAGTTCGAACGAACTACACGCGACAGTTTAAAATTAATCCGAACTAAGTCCTTAGTTCGGATTAACTGTTACACCTCATTCCATGAAGAGCGGGTAGATCTGGGTCTGTCCCTGGTTGGGAGCTGCCCCCTGTGGCTCTGGCATATGCCTGCTGCAGCTCTTTGATTTTCATCCGAACGTGCTCCTGGGTTCGGATGTGGCCTTTGGTGGCCAGGCTGGCAGCCATCCAGCTGTAGACGGCTGCATTCCTCCATCTAGTGCGGAGATCACGGACATTTGGCCAAGTCTAGACAGGCCAAATGTTGGAAGAACTTCTTCCTACAGAAGAATTGGGGGGGGAAAAAAGCAGCAGTGTAAGTGTTGGGGATAGTAAGTGATGGAGAAGAGGTGAACAGAGAGGGTGGGGCTTCAAGGAAGGGGCGGGGCTTCAAAGAAGGGCGGGGCAGTAGATCTTGGCTTGTTCTGTCATTTAAAAAGTAAACTTGGGTGTAAAAAGGTTGGAGACCACTGCTTTAAGCACAAGCCTCATAGAGCCTCAGGCAGCAGCCACACAAGGTAACTCCTGACCTGATGCCCTGCTGGAACCAGTTCTGATTTGATGCAGTATCCCGTCAGTGTGCATGTGCTATTTCGAAATAGCAAATGCTATTTCAAAATGCATTTTGTGTATAGATGTGTTATTTCGAAATAAAATATTTCGAAATAACTATTTCAAAATTAGATATTTTGAAATAACGCTGTAGTGTACACATACCCTTAGATACTACCTCTCTGTATATTTCCCATCACGAATGTATCGTGCATTGAGGGCTCTTTGGCAATCAGGCCCCACAGCAATATATATTTCTTATGTAAGGCTGTCAAGTTATTAATCGTGATTAATCGCACAATTAATCACATGCGCCTCCCCCTTTGAAATGCCACTGTGGCTTTTCAATGGGGCAACACTGTATGGAGCCCAGGATCAGCTGGAGTCCTCAGCTGACCCCAGACTCCATGCAGCAGTGCCCCTTGGAATCACCACAGTGGCATTTCCAAGGGACAGTGCATTGGGAGTCTGGGATCAGCTGGGGACTCCAGCTGATCACCGGCTCTGCTATTGCAAAGCCCCTTTGAGGTGCTGGAGGGACACTTCTAAGGGGCTTTACAACTGAATATGCGCTGCCCCTTTAAAGCACCAAAATGGCACTTCAAAGGATCAGTGCAAGCGGAGCCAGGGATCAACTGAAGTACCCAGCTGATCTCCGGCTCCTCTTGTGCTGTCCCTTTGAAGCATCAGAGTGGCATTTCAAAGGGGCAGCACAGCATTAACGCCTGCAATTCATGTGTTAAAAAATTAATGCATTAGCCCTGTCCTGCATTAATCACGGGCGTTAACACAGGTCAATTGACAGCCCTACTCTTAAAGTTTTCTCCTAATTATGAATCTTGTATTCCTTTTGACTGGTAATTCCCTGGTTCTGATTTTCTTTAAGAAAGTATATTAGATGAATTCCACATAGAGGGGAGGGAAGAGGAAAGCAGTATTGTAGGAGAGAACACAGGGTATTGTTTCCTATTTGGGGAAATAGAGTCAATACTGGGAGCTGCAGGACTTTTCAGCAGAAATGATTTTCATCTGTTTTATGTGGTAAGCATTGGTATTGACATTATACAGTTTATGAAATACACAGGTACATAGTAATAATATGCAATAATATCAGCAACACTGAGTCTTCAAACCAAACAATGATTAGGTCTAACAGTACTGAATTAAACTGTAATTTTATAAAAGTTAAAGTTCTAGAACTATAGGCCAATTTAGATATGAAGCTATTAAAAACACAATTAACTTTTTTTGGTGATAGGTTTCCCTTTAAAGCTTCTGGAACAATACAGTGTGACCCAATAATATTAATAAGACAAGGAGCATTTCCTAAGATGAAAATATTTTCTCTCCTTGTTGGGGAATGTCTGGAGACTTTTCTAATGGAAGACTTTACTGTCTGTAAGCAATGTGTCAGCTTATCTGTCTGAGCAAAGTTTTCATTTTTAAATATTATGCTCTGGAAAAGCACCAGCTAGGATCCTGGATGTCTTATGTCTGTGGCCCAAAGATACCACAAGAAAGTGATGACTTACACGTGTCTATCCTGAAACTACCCAACGTTGATTTTACCTTTGTCATAAGACAGGTGTCAGTAAGGAAGTTGGCTATCATGTACAGGAGCACAAGAGATATGTTTCAGAAGTGAAAGTATTCAACTTCAGCAGCTTGTGTATAGACTGCGTTATTAAAGTCAGTGATTTCAATTACAGAAAAGTCATCTTTTCTTTCCTCAGCTGTACACTTCCAGTTCTAAATGCATGCTAATCTATAACACAGAGTAAGTGGCAGATTCAGACTTAATATTTGTAGTATTCCTCTTGCATATATTCAAAAGTGCCCTCCCAAATCTATCTCTTCAAAAAGCAAATCTCAATAATGAATCTTCCTCTAAAATCAGGTGCTCTAGGTTTATGCCAAAAGGCATTGGTTAGAATGCATTATTCTCTCCAACTCTTAGCATCCATTGCAGCTTTTTAGAGAAACAGGCAAAGTAAAAGACGTTTGGATTGTTTTACTAGCTTTCAGCAGCTGCCTAATGTGAAACACTCACTATATTTTCCACAGCTTTTAAAAAGACAGATAAATATAATGTCATTGACTCCTGGGAAAATGCAAAGCAAAGAACTTTAATAACCAGAGAGGGGAGATTTGAAATTACCACCTAGAAACAAGTTTCAAAATACACAGTCCACCCAAGTGCCACCTGATAACCAAAACAGTCTAAGTCAACGTTTTAGTACTTGGTGAAAACACTAAAATGACTACTTGTGTTCACATCAGGATTTGTGTCATCACGTCTTATATCTATTATCCTAGCAAGAAAGAGACAACT